TCTATGCCAGGTCATGCGTGACCTGCATCAGAGCACATGGTGACAAAGCCCGGCCTTTCTCTTCCCTCTGCAGGATCCCAGTCCCCTGCAGGGCACAGAGCCACAGCTAGGAGAGGCACGAATATAATTCGCTGCTGTGCTAAATCACATCTTCCCAGTTTTAGGAGCACGTACATCGGATGCCGCTAATTATTAGGCTGATTAGCTGTAGCTGATGTAACAGGTTTAGTATACTGAGTATCTGCTTGTATTTACAGTATCCTTTCTTTTGCCTATTATACTGTTGTTAAAACACCAGCAAGTAAATATGAACTGTTGTCTTTGTATTCTTCCTAAACAGACAGAAAACAGTGCCCTTATAACCTGACCAGGATAAAAACTGAAAGGCCTTGTTAATTTAAGCTAACAAGAATATTATAATATATGTAATCTGATTATCTTTTTTTTGTGAGAAAACATTAAAGATTTAGATCGAAGAAAAAGAAATTATTTTATTTCAATGTTGTTGCCTATAAGATTCATGCTATCATGATTGACTGCAATGCAATACTTTGGCAGCCGCCAAAGATAACTGAAAAAAATATAGACAAAGAAAAAGCGGGAGAGGATAATCTTGCATACACACAGTACATGTATGGTAACAGATTAGAAAAAAGCTCAAATAGGATTTACAGCTGTTTGGTTGAAGGCCATTATGCATTTAGCTTAAGTCCTTAGATGCTAACCTGGGTTATTTCTTAATGGTTGTTTTGATGATGAGATGAAATGATGGTTTTTATTTCTTATTCTCATCAGAATCGAAAACCTTTTTGGTAAGTGATGGTGTACCTGTAAACTGCAAGTGTGGAGAAACAAAACAAAAAAAACCCTTTGTAGGTAAAAATCAAACCCCAGAACAGCTTTTGAGCCTTAAAACCGAAAACTAATCTAATCATGTCAAAAGAACTGTAAATGTGTGCTGAATTTCAGTCAATATGACTGATTACCTGTCACTTAGCTATGATTTCTTCCCGCTATGTGCTTTGGAACCATCTTTGTTTTAGAAACTTGGAGGCAGTGTGTATGAGTTGTTAGCTCACCTCCACCAGTTTCCTGAATGCTTTTGGGGCTGAGTAATACGCCCTACCAGTCACTTCAGCCTAAAACCTTGAACAGCATCACCACTCATTCATTTTTATCATCCTCATTGATGCTGCTCAACCTGAAACTCCGAGGAAGTTTCACACCTTGAGTCACATAAAGACTACACAGGCTTTATAAAAGAATGCCTGAGTGCTTATGTTAAGCTACATAATCACTAGGCTTTCTCTAGTTTTGGATTCTGGGTTGAATTCTAAGTGTAATTTAAGTGTGAAATGTTGCATAAGTTAAGCATGTCAACTGGCACATAACTTTTGGCCTTAAAAATAACTTTTTTTTTTTTCCTTAAAATTCCATTTACAACAGAGCGAAAAATCTTGACCACACAATATGTATGGCTACTAGCTTTCCTATATGTGAAAATATTCTGACACTCATGCAATATACATGACTGAAAGCAGCAAAAGGGTAACTAGTTGCAGAGTCTAGTTTCGTAGTGCAGTCTGAGGGAAGTAAGGGCTTGCTCCTTTGGTACCTCCCATATACTCATCCTTTACAAAAGCCAGCAGCAAACTTAGAAAATACCTTTAAAAGAGATTTATGCAAGTAGAAGGAAAGATTTTTGTAGGCAGAGAAGTCACATGGGACAACCAACAAAATTTGACAGAACTGTTTGGGCAGCATAACCAGCTGCTGCATAAGTTTGTGACCTGCTTGTTCCATCATTCCTAGAAGCTGCAGAGAACAAGGTTTTCAGGACCTTTGGGAGTAAAAGGCTATTACTCAGGCCTGTTTCAATATACCTCTATAGCAAAGGGAGGTAGTAGTGCATACAGGCAAAATGGACAACAAAATCTCTGAGGGCTTATATGGAAAACCAGTTGTAGATGAGCAGCTTCATTATGTATCATGACCAATAAAGAACTGTTCTGCTAATATCCAGTCTACTGATTGAGAAATTATTACCAAACAAAAAAAGTCAGTAAAAAAAGTCCAAAATACAATGAGAAAAATAATTTTTTTGAGGTATAGTCTAAAAGCTTGAATCAAATGTTTTTATGTAAGTTATATAGTGTTTATAAAGAATTATCAAGTTGTAGCATGCCTTACGGATAGAAAAAGGATAGTTTTCAGGAGAAAACGTCTTTTTCAGAATCTCAGGCAGCATGTAATTGGCGTTTATCAGGTAGCTCTATTGGTAACATTCTCGTGATCACACTGTCACCATGAAATAAATCAATACACTTACTGGTGACAACAATATACATTATTTGTTTTCATTTATTTTATTCTGAAAGTATGTTGTCACACTAGCACCATTAACAGCTTCCATATTCTGTAAAGATACTATTATAGGAGGACGATGGCAATGTAAGTACATACTACATTTTCAGAGATCTGACTCTGACAGAGTTGGAGATTACTTCTAGAGTTTCAAATTAATCTGAATGACCCCATCTTTATTGCTGTTGAATTTCTGGAAGTGATGAAATGCCAAGTCATTGAAAATAACTGATAAAAGCCTAAACAATCTGAAATGAGTAATGTAGCGTTTCTTTGACTTCATCTAAGTCCCATATGCTTTACAGCCAGGTACAGTATTTTATAGAGAAATGTTTGTTTTAAGGAATCTGAGTGCTCTTCAGTTCACTAAGAATAGATCAGCTAGGCAAAGAAGGAAAAATCCATTATCATGCACTCTTACATTTTATGTTCACCAAAATTATGGCTGTGAAGAGCAAACACTGCAGCAATGATTTCTGTCATAACAACGTAAGTGTCTGTAAAAGACCTGGGCATCAGGGCTAGAACTATGTTATGGAAATATAATATAAGATTCAAGTGTAGGCAGAGACCTTTTGGATCCCTTTTCTTCTGAATAACTTGCATAGCAGAGACCCAGTAATATGCATATTTGTAAGTGATATTAGATAATAGGAGGATTTGTGATTGTGTCCTGCATACCATGTTAAAATTTTATTCTTTACTCAGAGTCGCTGAAGTACAACTAAGAAATAGCTGACGCTCCTCTGTCTTGGTAATAATATGCACCATAGTGCTCCTTTCCAGCTGTTAAGAAGAAGAAGAAAAAATAAAGCTTCCTTTAGTAGATTCCTTTGGAAAAAGAAGAAGGAAAGGTTCCTTTAGTATGTTCCCTTGGAAAAAATAGTGAAATGATAATTGCACAATCCTTAGTAGCTCAGTCAACGAGTACTACAAAGCCACACATGGTGATGTCCAAATGTGGATGCTGACACAAGCAGACTTTACTTACAGAGATTTTCTCAAACAAATAAAACAAGTTTTGCCTTCAGATATACTTTGCATACTGATGGACAGAAGGAGGAAGCAGACAAAACTCAGTTTTTCAGAGGCAATCAAATAGGCAATTATATAGGTACCATAGCCCAAACTACTAGCTCACAAAAGAGTAAGTTTGCTCCAAATCTATCAGTGCTAATGTCATTTTTTTTTCCTCACCTGGAAGTATTGTAAAGCTGAAAAAGCTGACACAGCATGCATTGTAAGGTGATAACAAAAGGGAGCAGCGTTTGCTGTTTAATTCGGCGGCTGGATGCGAAAGTCATCTATCCTGCTGTTACATGATAGACAACTTCTCAGAGCCTTATTTTGTGAAGTGTGACTGAACCACTACCAGGAGAAAATCTCCGAGACACCCCTCTAATATGCCTCCCACTAGTCACAGATGCCTGTCCTGTTATACTATTGAAAAAGAGGTGTAAATTTCCTCCTACGTATTCACATGTAGAGGAACAGAGAAGGCCGTTGCCAATGATTTCCTGCGCTGAAGTGACTGCTCTGTGAGAGCTATTGGAGGATGACCCAGGAAAATGAAATGTGCAGCTGATGGGGCAAGCAAATACCAGCTTTGTGCAGAGCCAGGAAGAAGCAAATCAAACACCCCGGACCCGCTGAAATCAGCTCCAAAAGCTGCCGGCGGTTTTGACGGTAAAGGCTGCTGCATGAAGAAAGGCGAGCACTACCTGCCCACTGGAAATACTCGCCACGGTGGTGTTCGCTACCAGCTGTGCAAAATAACAACTCCAGCGAGAGGTGCAGCTGAACAGGAAGGGCAGGGACTTCAGCAGCGGTGTAATAAACCAGGGCGTGGTGGTGTAAACTAAGGCCTGCTGCTACTGATGCCGACAAAGTCAAGGCTGACCCAAAGTATTTTGGACCTTTTCTTTTAGCTATTTTTAACTATTATGTCTAACATTTTTCAACATAGCTGTTTCCCTGAATGAAACCATTTTGTCCTCACATATCAGTAGTAATGCTTATTTTAAAAGTGTGTAATTTTCTCTTTTTTAATTTTCAACTTTTATTACCACTAATAGTAAATAAACTGAAAATAAAAGTGCGCAGAGCTAAAAATTTATGTTTAGCGCTGAAATTTTAGTAAGGATTTGTACATGTAATTATAATACTGAATATTACAGAAATGGGTGGAAATCCTTTTTCCGCTGAATTTTTCCTTTCAACTACTGTGAAATGCATAGATATATTTTCACAAACAAAATAAAAATTCAAATACTAAAAACTGTTAAACATAGAAGGAGGAAAATGCTTATAAACATGTACTGTCTACAAGTAGAATTTAATTCAAAACAGTTAACTGTATGGGTAAAATTGGATAGAAATATAGATAGATATCTCAAGGGATAGAGATGCTATGGCTCTCATATTTGCACTGGACAAAATCTAGAAACTAGGGGAAATTAACATATTCAGTGGGTAAAATATGTATATCTTTTTCTAATCCTTTGTTGTTTTGATCTTATGATTTTAGTTGGATGATTTAAGTCTGTTTATTTTGCACAGGCTTCATGGTTTTTATCAGACATACTATGTCAATTATCAAGAAATCCCAAGAATAACTATTTACAACTTTGTCACAGGTATCTTCCATTTAAAAGTACCTGAGTCCTCTCACGTTGGTTCTGCTATTGGAAGGATAAGAGCTGTGGACCCTGATTTTGGGAAAAATGCAGAAATTGAGTACAACATAGTTCCAGGAGATGGAGGAAACTTGTTTGACATTACAACAGATGAGAACACCCAAGAAGGAGTCATCAAACTGAAAAAGGTATGTGACACCGATGGGGTGTATGTACCTATGGCTCAAGTGAGAAACTAGGTAAGAGAATTAAATGTTGTGCAATTATACCTCATAAGTAACACACAGTAGTTTGTATCTTTATTAGAATCTGTGGTCGTGATCTTAGTCTTAAAAGAAATTGGAGTTTAGTGTTTCGTTTCATGTACAATCAGGTACGACTTTTCACAAATAATGACAGTTTTAATGGCAGAGGAGTAATTCTTATCTCTTTCTAGAAAGTATAATTTCTCTTTTATGGGAAGTTTTCCACCTAAAAATGTATGAAAAATGCTCCAGTTCAGAGCATGGAATGAGAGAGCTGTATTTTACATTTGAAATAATATATTTCATAAGCATTTCATTTTTAAAATTCTGATGTTGTTTGTTATTTTAATAATGAAACTGTTGTACAGTACTGTGGTGAACAGAGCTTTTACTCAGGGTAGAGGAGTCCCAGATGGTTGCAAATCAACATGTCCTACTTCCAGTCTCCTAATAGTGTCCCAAATAGCTGGTTAACATGTATTCATGCAAGGGAGCACCCTGCATCTCAGCTGTCGATATTGCTTTAGTGTATTAGAATAAGTTTAAGAGTACTGAATTTATGAATTCCAAAGATGGAAAGGTTAAGTGTGATTTGGAATTTAGTGATTAAAGCACTCAGTAGGAGAGATCCAAAACAGGGACAGTCATGTTTTAACCAACAGTTGTCTTCTGAGCCCAGGCATGTACACGTACACCAATGATCAACTTGTTTAGTAGAAAGAAAACTGAACCACCAGCTCATTTTGAAAGGCCAGGATATGTTTCATAGACAGCTCATGCTTGTAGGTGTAATTCTTGTAAAATAAACACATCTATGAGCTTCAGAACACTTCAGAAGGGTCTGGGAAGGAAAGGGTTCTGGACATGTGTATTAAGAGAAGCTTTAGTTCCAATAAAATTTAGAATTTAGGTACTTAAATTTCCCCCGGCTCTGACCACGGATCTATATTTTCATTATACTCATTCTAACAACGAAATTCCTGGCTTCAGCCTCTTGACCCGGGAAATAGAAAATTATCCATGTGTGCATTAAAGGACCAGATGATGTCAAGTCACTTACTCTTCTGCTAGTTTTAGTGACATATTTAGTGATTCAGTTCTCCCTGGATTAGTCCTAAGCCTCAGCTGTGCTGCTTGGTTTTATACACAGCAATGGAATTTTTCCATACTTATGGTTAAGTATATATATATTTGATTGTATAGGCAAAACATTCAAATTGGCAATGCAGATTCAAGCAGTATGCATATAATATCTGTTACTGATGAAGAGCATCCACATATGAATTTGCCTGGTACAGTTATCTTAGGACCAGCACAAACAAAATACCTGGCCACTTTTGAGACTGCTATATGGAGAATTATATAATATCTAATTGAACAACTAATTAAAAAAAAAATTGACATAACTAATTCGACATCCAGATACTTTAGAGCTGGTCATTGTATTTTGCTGCATTTCTTTAGTCTTTTCAGTAACAAGATAAGGCATATCTGAAAGTGTAGGGCACTTTTACAACAGCAGAACATCAGCTGGTGTTGCCTAATGTAAATGATAGATCTCCGTCACTGAACAGGAGGGGAAAAAATATAATCCTAATCCCTTCTAATCTCCTTCATTGCAGTGAGCCTGGGGGCAGTGACAGGCTGTGAAGGTCAGGGAATGCCAGCTTTGTTCTATGCAGCAGTGGGGAAAGAAGATAAACCCAACATGCAGGTCGTCCAGCAAAGAATGCCTTTATATAGACCCTACACATTGCCCTTCACAAAACTTTTCTTAGGGAAAAGGTCCCATTCACTGAGCTTTAAATGATCCAAGTGTTTTAAGACATTTTGGAATCATCCAAAATCCATCCACTTGCTAGATCCCATGTCAAACAAGAGCAATCCAGATTCTTAAAGATACTGTTCACTGAGTTGTCTTTTCATATCCTCTACGCTTGTAATAATATAAATGTGTTTTCATGGGTTGCAGTTTTCTGATTTTCAGAAGTGCTGGACATTCACAGTTCTGTAGACACCTATTAAAATGCATGCTACCCGTACTGTACAAGCCTGCAACAGCAATATTCGTTTGTCTGCACAGAAGCAATTTCACATTGCACGGTGTTCCAAACACTGATTTAACCTTGTGGGATTACACAAATATTTAAGTTAGGTATGCATTTAAGTCCTCCTTTAAATCAAAGCTGGTGAATGAATAGGGCCAACAGTTTCAATTATGAATTATAAATAATAAATTGTCAAAGCCACTAATAAAAAGTGCCATGTTTTCACTTTTTTCTGTATCATAGCATATTCTGATGCTGTAAGTGCTGCAGTAATTCAGTGTTGAGCCATTTCAAAACCATTTATAAAGTTTGCTTTTATTTTTCCTGAAAATTTTCTTGCAGCCAGAAACTGTCAGTCACTGCCTAGATGGTTTTTTTGTTCTGTTGTTATGTAAAAAAAATGGAGATATTTCTCTATCAAAATGTAGAAAAATGAAGCCTTCCTGGACTACATTTATTTTTGATGGAAAATACATTTGATGATAAAAAATTGCACAAGCCAAACTTCTTTTCAGCACGCTAGGTGCATTGGCGGAGGCAAAAGGCCATTCTCTGCTTCTCAGACACTAAATGGGCACAAAAAGCTACAGCTGGACAAGGTGCACATCTTAAACAATCTGTTTTGGTTGCTAATTTATTTTTGTGCTATGATCCAATATAAGCTTGATTACTACTACTCTTGTGCTATTTACATATATTAAAAATGGAAAAGCTTTCTTATATTCTGCTAAAGAAATGATCCAAATGCTATTTAGCACCACTGTGTGGTTAGTACTGTAATAGCTTCCTCTCAAAAAAAAAAAAAGAGAATAGTTTCGGTAAAAAGAGGGGGAAATGTCTGGCTTTAGGATAGTGCTGCATACAGTTCTCTATAAGAGTAAGAAATATTACTATATTAGGAATAAAATGACCAATTTCTTCTCTTGTCTGGTGCTATTTAATACAGTGTTTCTTGGATTTTATATTTATATAGTATCTGTCATCCTACCTTAATGCTTCAGCAAACTACAGTGAGTGTAAGCTACAAGAAGCAGGGTGACAGAAGAGACCATCTCCTTTGTACGGGAGTGTAGTGGTCTCAGGTGGGGCACGGAGCAGTGCTCCCAGGTATGGAGGGAAAATGTGTCAGTCCCAGGCAAGCTCCCGATTTCATTGAAACTGGTAAGAAATCCTTAATGACCACACCCAACAGAAAAGGAAAACAGAAGGATCCAAGCTTCACTGAACAGTTGGCACTAAATTTATTAAACTAAGGATGAGTTTATAGAACAAGCCCATTGTGTGCAGGAGCCTCTTAATTGGCTCAGCATGAGATAATCCAGAAATTGAGCAGGGTTCAAGCACTGAGTCTGGCTCAGACATTACTTTACTAATTTGTGCAGAGTGTCACTAAAATGCAGGAAAAGACTGTTTCTAGGCTTCACCTGGTATGATCCTACATGCTGCACTATACTGGGTGAGCTTCTCCATGTGGGTCAGTGGAAGCTCAGGGAACATCTGCATCTTTTTTTTTGTAAGCCGTGTACCACTGCTAACTGATCAGGTGACAAAGCTGTATCCATGAAATCACAGCATGTCAGGGAGGACATAGCACTGCATGATGAGAAACAGTAACTTCAGTGATGATTAACAGAAACTGGGGGGACGATGAACAGACCCAGTAGCTGCAGGGAGGTATTTGGAGCGTATGCTTCCTTGTAACCTCAGGGGCCACTTTTAAAAAGCCTTTAATTGGAGGCAGCAAGTAGAAGTTTGACTGCTGACTAAGCTGAGCTGTCTTGCTCATGGGACAGCCCATGTATGTCGTGCTGGGACATTGCTATAACGCAAGAGCAGTCTGATAGCATCTGTACATTGTAATAGTGAGCATAAGGCACACTCCTGATGTCCCTCAGACAGAATTGCATTATTGCTACTACTTGCTTTACTATCAAGACTGTATAGACTGCTGACCCCACCCCTTCATTCTCCAGAGGCAGGGAATACCCTCTGCAGGTGTGTGCATAGGCACTGTCTGCCTATAATCGTAAGTCATGAGTTTGTGTGAGTGGGAATTGTGGGTTTACATTTTGAGGAAGAGCAGGTGATATTCAGTCCTTCAGTACGGGCAGAAAGTGGTGACCCAGGTGCAGACGCAATTTTAAAGACCATGGCAGCCACAGAGGAGAATGACTGGAAGAGTGAGGAAGGGGAGGTCTTCAGTCTCTGCAGTTTGCAGATACAGCCGTTGGGTTTGTTTTTTCCTGGAACAGTGAAAGGCAGAAACAGGTAAGATGCTTGAGAGCAGAAAACAGCTGCTCTGACCCTGACATTGGTCAGCTTCTTCCCTTCTCCAGATACAGGACATACATATATTTTGCCCACTTCCCATCAAATCTTGAAACACTCACTTCAAATTTGGCAGCAAGTGCTGTAGATTTGGCCTATGGATCTCATTTTTTACTGTGCATTCTCATCTCTGTAATTAATGAATGTTCCTGGTTGATCTGGAGATTGCTTTAATAAATGAACCTGCTCTATAATACCAATTATTTCCTTATGCTATTCAAAATCCAGTGCAGAAGTGCAATTACTGAAATGTGTCAATGCACAGCAAATAGTCTGATGGCAGTATTTCACAAAATACATAGACAACCCATCTTCAAGGGGAAAGTGTTGCCAGGTTTTGAGGCAGGCACACATGACACAGAGTTGTTCTACAATTGCACAAGCCTGTGTTAATATGCACTTGAAGACAAGCCAAAGTTACTATGCACTTCCTCTCAACCCAGTGCTACTGTCTGTAACTATCCATGTGTCCTGGGGCTTACAGTCTCATCCCAAAATACGGCCTTTCCATCATTGTAGGTGTGGATCATGAAAGTCTGTATCACAAACCGTACTGTTGTATCTCTTATGTGTGGATAAAAAGCAGAAATTTCTGGAGTTTCTGGTCCTGCCTCTTTGTGAAGCAGAATAAACTGACAGGATAGTTCTTTTTCCACCCTTGCCATGCTTCTCATCAGAATTCATTATATCTTTCAGCCAATTCTTTTTTCTTTCAGTTCTTTAATTCTCTCTCTCTCTGTCTATCCACCTATCTATCAGATATATAAATTTAGATACAGATACATCTATATAGTAACATTTCTTAACTTCTACCTTGAATATGGGAAATAATAATATTTCAAAATACGTTTATTTCTAACACAGAGCTGTTTATGTGCTTTCCTAGTCATACTAAACAAGTCCATTCGTGGTACTTCCAGAGTTGCAAGATAAACTTGCAACACTTGCATCATCATGCAGTGCTATGATTTGTCAGTATGTGTTATTTGATTTTGGGATTTGTAGAATGCCTTTGCTGCACACAGCTCTGTATGTGCTGATAGTGCTTTACTATGCAACTATATAGAGCAGCTTGTAACTGCAACATAGGAAAAGGCAGATAAGAACCAGTAGGGGGGCCAAATACATCTATTCTGTCAGTGGTACTTGGAATATCAATTAGAAATATTCCTCAAATTGTTGAATAGTTCACAGTTAATAAGACATTGCCTTAATATTAGCAAAAATGCTGTTTACTGTGGAAAAAATTGTAACTTTTGTAAAATAAAAGCCTTATTCAAACTTAGCTTTCTGAATATAGTTATTTTTATAAAAGTAATAAATATTTCTATTGGTTATTTAAAAAAAAAAAACACTTTTAAGAAGTCATTTCATTAAAATCTGATTAATTGAAAGACGTTTCAATAATCTTACAGTTTTTTTCTGTAAGATTCAAACATTCTGCTATGTTTGTACCCTTATCAGCATTCCAGATTTTAAATGAAAATAGGACTGAGCACTGTCAGACATTTATTATGTAACAGCAAAATATGATTTAAAAAAAAAAAAAAGGCTAAAATGTTGTGTGGACCACTCATTTCCTTCACAGATTTTAGTGGTATCTACTAAAAAAAAGAAATACAAAGGAATGCTATTTTAACACCTTTAAAACTAAAAATCCAGAATGTTTTGCCTGAGAGCTAGGCAGACAGTCAAGTCTTCTGTTTTCAGGCAGACTCCGGGCATATCAGACAAATGCCAAAATTTGAGATTGTCAATAGCTATCTATATGGCTCAATTGTTCAAAACTGGGAAGACCAGAACTGACCAGGAGATTGTAGCATGGACTCCCCATACACACAATACAGTGAAACCATACTCTTCTGCTGCATGATATATGTTATACGAAATCTTTTTCTTCTTCAAGTTAAATCCTAGGTTTACCATTTGCAACATTTCCCATCTTTCCACAGAGGTTTCAGCTGCAGTTTAGCCTCACTTATATTAAAAGGCTAAATTCTGCTATTTTGTGGGAGTGTGTCACTGATTTCTTTCTCTGACAATGGCTCAGCACTTTCAGCCTGTCTCTTATTTTGAGTGCCATCTGTGCTTTGCATTGGTCGCATATTGTTTAACCTCTAACTGTATTTATCATCAGACCCACAGGAGGACAGAAAGGGAGAATGGGTTGCTCTGAGGTTACATTGAAAACATTTTCCTTTCTTGGGGTCAAACTGTCTTTTCAAAAATATACCATAGCATTGCCCCACAATGCTGGGAGGGGAGAAGTAATGCAGCCGCTTTATCTGACTTCTGGGTAGCTCTGCAGTAAAATATGTCAGCCTGAGCACACCAATACACAGAGTTGCTTGAAATCTTATTTCTTTCTGTCCATTCCCAAACAAGGACTCTGTTCCCCTTGCATCATGAAAGTGGTGACTGGGCACCGGCCAAGAACCGTGATCTGGTACTGCTGCCTTGAAGAGTAACTCACTGAAAGGCAGCCTGCAAGGACCGCATGGATTATGGCTCTTTCCATTAGCACATCTATCTACAAATATACTCATCTATCACAGGAGCCAGTCTGAACAGTTTTAATGCAATTTTGGGAGTATGAAAGATAGGCATCTGTTAGAATTACTACTTAATTGAGAGCTTAGATTTCCTGCTTTCTCTATCTTAATCATATATCTCTAGCTTAACCTCTCATAGTTAGACTTTTTCCACTCCAGACTGGTTCTTTAAACTCAAGGTTTTCTCTCCTTAATATATTTTTTGAAAATGTGTTAACAACTTATATGATCAGCCAGAGAAGAGTTTGTGGGGGGTTTTTTGTTTGTTTGGGGGAAATTTTTTTGGCGATGCGTAACAATGAACAAGAGTAGTATAGAAACTGAAAAGACAGTGTGACAACAATTTGGATAATGAAGCAGCATGTCCATCTGTAGTGAAGGCAACAGCTTAGTTTTTCACTACTAGGGCACAAGATCTTTTACACTTAATTTTGTCTGTTTGTTCTTAGCCTTAGTTTCTTCTTCCTTCTGTCAGTCCAGTCATGAAGGTGCAACTCATACTGACTTTTACTGCGAGTGTTGTCTGTAGGAGGATGGTTTCATGTGGTAGTGGATTGGTTAGCAGTACTTGGCTTTCAAGCCTGATTATTTCTATGGTATATAGACTTGGATGGCTAATTTTAAATCCCCAACTCAGAAAAGACTGACCATCTGGTCTATTAAAATTATGAAGTCTTTCATAAGGATTTAAAATCATTATGCTAGTTGTTCAGCTCGTGTAAGTCAAGGTAATTCTATTGATTTTAATGGAGCTACTTCAATTTATAACAGCCAGTCATCTGGTCAATTATGTCCTGTTGTGATAAGGACAGAAAATGGCAGAATTTAAATCTATCCTAGCTGTGACAAATGACTGGAAACACTGCCATAATGATGGCTGGGGGGAAAAAAAAAAATGACAGACATTGAAATATTCGTGCTCATACACTTGTGATCCTGCTCTCTTTTCCAGATAGCATAGCCTTTCCCGTTAGAAAATTTCCAACTTGACAATTATAGGCAGAAACCACTAGGTGCCAGTGTTACCCAGACATCAGGAAAAGACTGTCGGTAACATTAAAAAGAACATGAAAGCTAGTACAGCTAAACCCTTTAACTGAAAATAAAGCTTCTGTGTCTTTTCAACTAAATAAGACTGCATTAAGGTTTTTCAGATGATTACTTTGGTAAACCCAGAGGCACTAAATCAATGTACATTGACAGAAAACCACAACAAAACAATCTGATTGCAGGATGCATTTCCATCAAAAACCCAGATAGGTACACAAAAGCTGCTATGCTGCCTTCAAGACTTCATGGATTACACCTAGGATCATAAGGCAGAGTTAAAGTCTGCATTTTTCCACACACGTGAAGCTCAAATATATGGCGCGAATAGCAGCTCACTACTAAGATAGACATTTTACAGGAAAAACTTGGTTCACACCAAATTTGAATTCACATTCCAAGCCACATCTGAAGTTGGTTTGACCCGTTGGTATATATCAGAGTTTTCATTTGGGCTCATTTCCATCATTGTCATGGTCCTCTGAAAGCTTTCCCTACTAAAAGAAATGGAAATTTTCTGTTTAAGGAACAGGATCAGCTAGAGACAGCTGATTGCCTGTGCATGGGAGTTGTGAATGCAAATCTCTGCCTAACCTGCACACAGCTCATTTGCAAGAGATGAACCTCACTCATTTAACTTCAGACATTTACAGTGTAACTGTTTACATCTATGCCAGTCATCCTGATTTTTTTGATGTGGAGAAACAGTCATTTCCTGGGTATGATTCATCTGGCCTATTTCAGAAACCACCTTAGCATGAGACGAACTCCAAAACAAGCTTAGATAATTAGCTCAGGAGCTGAAGTTTACACCAAAGGCATCTTAAGTTATATCAGAGTAATCTTACCAAAGTGATTTTGCAATGTTTAATTTTTAGCCAAATTGATGTTTTGCTTTTGTTCTTTCTACAGCCATTAGACTTTGAAACAAAAAAGGCATACACCTTCAAAGTCGAGGCCTCCAATCTCCATCTTGACCATCGATTTCACTCGGTGGGTCCATTCAAAGATACTGCCACTGTGAAGATAAATGTGCTGGACATGGATGAACCTCCAGTTTTCAGCAAGCCTATGTACACAATGGAGGTTTATGAGGATACGCCTGTGGGGACCATTATAGGTGCAGTGACAGCACAAGACCTTGATGCTGGCAGCAGCTCGGTTAGGTAAGAAAGCTTTTCCTCCTTCAATAACTCTCAGACAACCCAAAGCGCTGCTGACAGTCAGTCTCGGTGGCAAAGAGCTTAGTAAGAAGATATAAAATGTTCCAAGTCTGTCACTGTAACAGATAACTGCTGCTCTGAAAAATATTGAAAAGAGGTGCTAGTTTGTGTGGGTTATCTGGAAAAATACATTAAGTGCTGACAGCTTCTTATCATACAGATCATATAAGCTACCATGCATTGACGTGACTTCAGAGATGGTGTGATCAGACTAAGGAAGTAAAAACATTGTTTTGCCTCGTGTCTTCCACAAAAGCAGCTCTGAAGTACAGTAGTGAAAAAGGAGGTTGTACACGCTACGTCTGTGTTATACCTCAATGGGTGACAGTGAGCACCGCCCCTTTCACAAGAACCACTCACTCTCTACATCTGGCAAAGAACAAATGCTTCAATAAATAATTACTACATCTGTCTTGGCCAAGGCTGTGGGGATGTGATTGCTGACTAACATGGCTGTGTTCAGCAGACTTCAGCAGAAGTAAACCCCTGCCAGTAAAACCTCTCATTTACTGGTATAGCTTATTTTCCTGAAATAAAAGGGAGAGGGGAGCTGTTATACAAAGGTAATATATTGATTTTGTTGATGTATTTCCAGCCACATTAGAAACTATAAAGTGAACCAGACTCATGTACCAATAAGGAAGCTCCTGTGCAGACACGGTCTAAGATGTAGGCAGTCATTACACATACTTCCAGTACCAATTCATGTTGAACCTACCTGACTTCAGGAAATATTTTTATTCCCAGACTTTCATGAGCAATATTGCAGATATAATGGAAGTCATCAATCTTTAAATATTAATGTTTATCAAATGGGACTACGATGTAACAGGAAAATGCCACTAGTGTCTACTAAGTGCATACACATTCATGCATATTTGACTACAAATTTCATTTGGAGTTTCTAATTCATGTTTATTAACTATGTATATTTTGACTCAGTACATATATTCTCAAAATGTACAATAAGCATGTTAGATGTTATGTTGTAATCATATGCAAAAATTTAACGTGCAACAGTGACTGTTTAGCTCCTGCTTCGTCAATTCACTGTTAATTAATTCCTAAAACTATTATTGATGTTGTTTGTTTCACTACTGGTTTTTTTTAAATACATTCTTCATTCTTTTGTAATACAGAAATGAATTTGTTCACGAATCTGTGACACATTCCTTCCCTGACAAAGGATTAAAACCTTCACTAACAGAGACTGAAGTGGGAACCTTTTTCCCTGGTGGTAGCCTATGAATATAGCCCCACTGAAGTCAATATTCTGTTGAAAACTATACCCCCTTGCAACCAGATAGCAAGCCTTTAATCATCTTGTTGAGCAGTTTTTCATATGGCAGCAGAATCATTTGAATGCATAACCACTCCTCAGTGAGAGTTTTTTCTTTCACAAACCCTCCTAGGAGACTCAAGTGCTTTAGTTACTGATCCTACATTTGCAACTACACAGGAAAAATCATTGTCTCATTATGGTTTCTCCATACACTGTGCTCACTGTAATATTGACTCATAAGCCATTTTAAAGTGTCCATGTCTACCTTTTCTAACCCTGAAATCATTACTTGGGTGTCCAAATGTCCATCTACAGTTAAAAGATCAGGGATATTATAAAATACCCTTGCATTTTAGTCTCACTGCTCTACCTGTTGACCCCTTATGCTGACAAACTACAGAAGTGCTCCCAGGTCACTTTTTATCATAGAATCATAGGATTGTTTAGGTTGGAAAAGAACTTTAAGATCACCAAGTCCAACCGTTAACCTAGCACTCCCAAGTCCACCACTAAACCATGTCCCTAAGCACCACATCTACACGTCTTTTAAATACCTCCAGGGATGGGGACTCAACCA